GTTAATCTTCAATGCGGCATATCTTAACTACTGGCCGGGTGAATGTGCCATTTTTCATCTTAAGAACTACCGATCTAACTCTTCCATCTCTGCTTCTGATGATGCATTCGATTCGTGCTAACGGCCATTTGTGTCTGTGGATACCATCTTCTGCGCTAAGAACCAGTTCGCCGACTTGAGGCTCCTTTTGTTCAAAGTACCATTTGGATCTCTGCAATAGTGTTGGTAGGTATTCTTTTATCCATCTCGCCCAGAATACTTTAGACGCAGCTAGACTTTGTTTGTAAACATTTCTTGCGTTTATCTCCTTTTCATCTGAGTGCAGAGGTATGCTAGTGTTTGGCTTGAGAAGTAGTAAATCATTTGGTGTCATTGCGCTGAGATCGTTAGGGTCTTCTTCTGTGTATGGTGTTAGGGGTCTGCTGTTGAGTGAACTTTCAATCTCTACCAATGCAGTATGGAGGGCATCTGATTTGAAGACTTGGACTTCTAAGCTTCTGAGAGCTCTTTTAACGCTTCTCACCATTCTTTCAACTGCGCCGGTCTTGTGTGGAGACAGTGGTGAACCGAAGTGCCAATTAATTCCATTCTTGTACATGGTATTGATAACTTTTTCTTTGTCGAGATTCTTTTGTAGTTCTTTAGCAGCTCCGATGAAGTTTGTTCCTCTGTCTGAGTAGATATCTGTGCATGTTCCTCTTCTAGTTCTAGATGTACAGCTCTTGTTGCTAAACACGTAAAGATGCATCCCCATCTTTTTTGTGGTATTGATCTTCTGGTTGTACTGCGGTCCTTGACTGTGATTGGGCCGAAGTAGTCACACATTACTTGAGTGAAAGGTGATGTGTTTGGTGTTACCCTTGCAGGYGGGAGATCTGCCATCATGGGTGGTGTAGGTTTTGCTCTCTCCCTTTTACAGAACCAACAATTCTGTGTATGCTTCTTCACTCCTTGTTTTAGTTTAATGATCCAATATTCTTGTCTAATTTCGTTCATGACGTGCTGGACTGAACCATGCTTGGTCTCTTCGTGTGCCTTCGCAATTATTAACTGCGATATGTGCGAGTTTCCATTGATAACAATTGGGTACTTGGCTGAATACTGTATTGGTGCATGTCTGAGGCGACCTCTTGCTCTCAGAACTCCATCTTCGTCCAAGAATGGGACAAGGCGTTTGAGACGTGACTTTGTTGAAACTTCTCTCCYTTCTTTCAGATCATTAATTTCTTGTGTAAACACTTGTTTCTGGTGTATCTTTATCAGCTGGACTTGTGCATTGGTTAGCTCATCACTTGTGATTTGACCTTTTTTCTTTGATTTCCACCTTAAACATCTTGAAAGGACACGTAGGGCCTTTGACAGTGAAGAGTATCTTTCTGTTGGAAAAGCTGGTTTACTCTGTCTCGCTGTGAAGCATTTCTTTCTTACTTCTAAGTTGACATCCGGAATCTTCTCCTCCTCGTGAGGAACTGTGGGCCACTTTGATTCTGGTTCTTGTAGAAACTTTGGGCCAAGTTGCCATCTTGATTTTGRACCTAACTTCTCTGAAGTTAATCCTCTGGTTCCATCATCAGCTGGGTTCTCTGCAGTAGGGCAGTAGCGAACTTCTACTTCATAACCTTTGTTTTCTAGCCACTTTAATTCAGATTGTACATCTGCTATCCTGTGAGCGACATAGTCTCTGTAACGACTGCTTGGCTGTTTCACCCAGTACAGGACAATCATAGAATCTGTGAAGAATGTTACTTTTTTGATCGTTAGATTCTGTTCCTTTAATGTTGATTTCACTAACCTCACTGACATCAGAAATGCATCCAGTTCTAGTCTTGGGATAGAGATTGTTTTCTGAGGTGACAGTTTGGTCCTTGCAACATTGATTCTTGTGTCGACTTTGTTGTCTTCATACTTTGTTCTGATGTAGTTTACAGCACATTTGGCTTGCTTTGATGCATCTGAAAATGATACTAGACTTGGCTCTCCATTCTCTTGTCTTGATCTGAATGGCCGTGGTATTTCTGTTCCTTGAATCTGCAACAGCTCTTCCTCCCATGAACGCCACTTGGTTAGTAGAGGGTCTGTTACAAGGCTGTCCCAGTGTAACTTCTGTGTAAAGGTTTCTCTCTGTAGATTATGTCCTCTGATGATGAATGGGCTGAGGTGTCCCAGTGGATCCCAGATAGATGCTATCCTGCTTAGAAACTCTCTTGGGGTCGAAGCTGGATCTTTCTGTGAGATGGTAGCGATGAAGCAATCTTTGTCTGGATCATAAACTGTTCCAAGAGTTCTTGTTTTAGTAGTTAGCTCGTCGTTGAAACTTTTAAGGCCTTTATACTGATCGTCAGGTGGAACTGTCTGTAAAACTTCTTTGTTGTTGGACATCCACTTTGTAAGTTTGAAACTTCCCTTGGCAAGTAGTTCAGTCAGATCCTTTGTCAGCTTGATGGCTTGATCTTTATCATCAACAGACGTCAAACAGTCATCAACGTAGAAACTTCTGTCTGCAACTTCAGCAGCAAGCGGGAACTCTGCGATGTTATCTTTACAGCACATCTTTATGGTATAGTTTGCACAGCAAGGTGCCGATCGTTCGCCAAGAGGACGCCGAACACATTTGTATATTTCAATTTGTTGGTCAATGGATTCTCTGAAAAGAAATCTTAGCGAATCTTCATCTGTTTCTTTGACTTGCATCTGTAAAAACATGTCCGAAACATCTGCTGCGAGACAAATGTTTCCAGTTCTGAAACGTGTAAGTACACCAGTGAGTGAATTTAGCAGATCGGGTCCATTGCAAATCCTGTCATTTAATGACTGTCCTTGATAGTWGCTGGAAAAATTAAACACTCTCCTCACTTTGTCAGGCTTATGAGGGTGTACTACAGGGTGGTGAACTATATAATGTTCTCTTGGATTTTCTTTGTTGAGTTCTTCTTCTTGAACTTTCTTGATGAATCCTTTCTCTAGATCTGTATGGAGTGTTTTGTTGTATGCAGACTTGAGCTTTTCATCTTTGTTTAGACGTCGTTCAAGCTGCAGCCACTGTCTTTCTGCTTGTTGACGGTTGTTTGGTAGTGGTTCAGCTGGGTCTTTCCATAGGATGGGAACTTCGTAGCGATCTTCTCCAGTTAGCTTGTGAGTCTGTTCTTGTAGGATGTGGGATGCCGTTTCCTCTTCTTTAGACTGTAGCTGTTGGGGTTGATTCAGGGGCTCCATCTCCATGTTAAACCAGTCTGAAAGTTGTTGTTCCAACTGTGTTGTTGTTGTCTGTGTTGTAGATGCTGAGTATGATTCATAACTTGATCTCTGACWAGGTGCAGTATTGCTTGAGAATACTGTCCATCCTAGCCTAGTGTTTATGGCAATTGGGTTGTTGGGTCCATCTTCACGTACTCTGAATGGCCTGATAAGATATCCTTGGTCACAACCGATGATCATCTCTGCGTCTCCTGGTGTGTTCTGTAGTGGTAAATCTTGAAGATGAGGGTGTTTGTTCTTTTCTTTTGACCAATCTGTATGGCTGTTGAGCTTTGGGAATTTGTTGTCATCTCTGGCGAGAACATTTTGCATAGTATATTGCTTTCGTCTTGAAGCTTTACCTTTAGTTGGGGTAATCTTTACATCATTTAGTATGATAACTTTCTCTTGAATGGTATTGTTGATCCCTGACAGAGTGATGATCTCTTCAGGACCTGTAAGTCCCAGGGACTTGGATAAGCCTTTTGTCATGAAGGTGGTGTCTGAACCAGTGTCAATTAATGCAGTAGTTTTCTTGGTAGCTTTAGGGCCTTTGACTATGACATTAACAAGTGGTAGGCTGGCTTTAGATTTGATTGGTTGTTTAGCTGGGTAAGAGTGGTGATTAGGCTTAGCTGCATCTGTATGACCCTGGTTGGTATCTTTAGGTGTTTCCGTTTTTGAGTTTCTGTAGGTGATTACATTGTTGTGAGCTAGTGTGTGATGCTTTCCTTGGCAGGTTTCACATGTGGTTCGATAGCTGCACTTTCCATGTCGTGGCTTTAAACACATCCAGCRTAACCTTTTGGTTTTTATGATCTCTTCTCTTTCCTTGGGTGATGTGGCCTTAAATTTCTCACATTCACGCGTATGGTGTCTACTGTTTTGATGCAAGGCACAGAGGGGTAATTCGACTTCAGTAACCATTGTACTTCTTCTCTTTGTGTCTTGCTCTGTGGGTTTTTCCTGCTTATATGCATGGATCTTCTCCAGGATTGATGTTTCTTTGTCTAGCCATTGATGTAGATCTTCGAGGGTGGCTCTTTCATTTTTGGACAATGTGTCGCGCTCCCACTTTATTCTCATATCCATAGGTAGCTTTTCTGTTACATGTATCACATTTGACCCAGAGATCAATTCTGCATGGAGATCCAAGGACCTGTAGGTTGCAATAACTGCTGCAATTGTGTCTGTTAATGACCTTAGAGATACTGGATTTCTTTTATCCACTCTTGGGTGCTCTCTAAGCTTTGTTTCAGTAGCAGTAATGATTTGTGTTCTATCGCCAAATCTTCTCTTTAGTACATCCATGGCTTCATGGTAACAGTTAGTACCTGGGAAAAATCCTTGTAGGGCTTGTTAAGCTTTTCCAGCGACAGAGTCGAGTAGTAGTTGTAATAGCTCTTTATTTGTGTAGCAGTTATCTTCTTCTAGGGATAGGAATCTTGCGTAGAATCTGGCAAATTCTTGTGGGTCTCCATTGAATGGTTTGATGCTTATGGGCTTCATACGTAATAATGTTTTTGCAAGTACATTTACTTCAACAGTATTAGATGTATCAATAACAGGTACATTAATTGGTAGTTTACTCGCAAACATCCTGTCCACTCTTTCCTTTTCACTTTCTTGTGGTAACTCCTTCAGTATACTAYCATTATCATTGACTACCTGATCATCCTGTTCTTCTTGCTGTAGCTCCAGCTCCTTTTCCATTATTTGTCTTTGAGCCATAAGTTCTTGTTGTTGCATTTCAAGCTCCTTTTCTTTGCGATCCAATTCTTGTTTTCTTTTCAGGTACTCTAGCTCCTGTTGTATTCTACTTCTGTCACTTGTGGTTTTGGCGCCTTTGGACATTTTGGACCTCACACTTTTTGGACTGTTTGGACCGTTTGGACTTGGATTTGCAGGACTTGACATCTTGAGTTACTTGATTATTTTAAAAATCAAGTTTGAAGAAAAATGTAGATCACGGTGGGGAATGAACAATCAAACCAGTTGATAGCAACAATACTTTAATGGTATAAAGAGAGCTTCAAACTGAAGAAAATTACAAATGAACTGTTACCGATAAAATTTACAACTGTTACAATTGTGTGCAAAAGCCATGACAAAATGAAATATATTACAATAAATTACTAAAAACTATGTTTAAATAGCATAAATACCTTGATTTGTGGCTTTCCCACCTAATAACGATGTATTTATCCAGTAGTTGAAGGTAAGTTGTTGAAAAACTTTTGACTCACAAAAGGACGGAAAGATATTTGAAAAAACTGAAGATTACGTAATTTTTCACGCGCGCATATGCTTACGTGACATTTACGGTTGACTGAAGACGTTACTTAGCAACAACATGAAAACGAGACTTTTGTTAAACAAAATGGCGGACGAAGGGCCGTGTTTACAGTATGAATGGGACACTAAAATGACTAAATATATGCTAAAACCAGGACAAAATGATGGA